TTTTTTGACGCGTTACGATGCAGGTCTCGTCAAGCACATCTTTTAAGCAGCAATTTTTCCATCGTCTGGTATCGTAACGCTTCTAGGTCGCATCATCACTTTGCCTTGGTCATTGATATGCAAGAGACAGATCAACGGGTCGTCGCGTTGGTTGGCATTTCGGGACGCATTATGGTAGGTCGTTGGGTAGCTATCCGAATGGCCTTTCGAGTCTTCCCATCACGTTGCGTGGATGTCTGCTCGATCATCGTGGCTGGCTTCTGTAAGCTTTTCGCATTAAGCGCACCGCGCAGTTAGCCCCGTATATGGTGCACCATGTTGCGCGCCATCGGATGCACCACATACGCGACCCGAAAAAGGTTCGCCAGCGTGGCTTCTGACAGTGATCTCTTGCAAGCCATGCGGTGCAAGCTAGGTGGTGCAATCTAGGTGGTGCAATCCATGTGGCGCACGGCATGTGGTGAGAAGCAATGGGCACCAATGCAATGCAATGCAAAGCAATGCCAGAGCAATGCAGCGCCATGCAACTCGTTGCAACGCAAAGCAATGCAATGCCATGCAGCGCGTTTTGAAGCAAGTGCATCAGTGCAACGTAACGCAACGCAGTACAACACAATACAACGCAACGCAAACCAACGCACCGTAGTGCAAAGCCATGCGAAGCAATGCAACGCAATGGAAACAATGCAGAGCAATACAAGACACTACAAAACACTGCAAAGCAATGCAACGCAGCGCACAGCACTGCAAACCAAAGCGAATCGATGCGAAGCAATGCAACGCAATGCAACGCTATGCAGAGCCTTGCCATGCGATTGCAACGGGCTGCGCAGCAGTGCAGGGTCATATGCTGCAGAGAGCGGGACTGCAAAGCAACGGGACTGCAGCGCGAGCAAGGCAACGCGGTTGCCTTGCAGCGCGAGTGCGGCACGTTGCGAAGCAGTGCACACACCGACTGCAACGCGCAGCGCCTCTGCAGTGCAAAGCGACGGAAGGGGGTCGCAGCAGAACGAGCAGCAGAACGCTGGCGGCGAGGACGGGCCACGGCCGCCAGCCCGCACACGGGGTTTCTCCCTTCTCATTGTCGGACAGAGACGTCGTGCCGCGGGACCTCGTCATCCTCCTCGTCGTTCCTTCTCTCTCCCTCCTCCCTCCTCCTCCCGCCCTCCTCCTCCTCCCTCCTCCTCTTCCCTCCTCCTCCACCTCCTCCTCCTCCCCTCCTCCTCTCCTCCTCTTCCTCCTCCTCCTCCTCCTCCTCCTCCTTCTCCTCCCCTCCTCCTCCACCTCCTCCTCCTCCCTTGTCGCTGGGGCGGCTGCGACGGACGGGCACGGGCGGTCCACCAGGCCCGCACCACCCGTGGTTTTCTTTCTCTTTTCGGACACGTGTGCCGCGGGCCTCGTCACTCTCCTCGTCTTTTTTTTCCCCTCCTCCCCTCCTCCTCCTTCCTCCTCTTCACTCCTCTCCTCCTCCTCCTCCTCCTCCTACCTCCTCCTCCTCCTCCTCCTCGCACCTCCTCCTCCGCCTCCTCCTCAGCTCCTCCTCCCCTCCCCTTCTCCTCCTCCTCCTCCTTCTCTCCGCCTCCTGCTCCCCTCCTCCTCCCCCTCCTCCCCCCCCTTCTCCTCCCTCCCCTCTTACCCCCTTTCCCCC